TTCTTTCTTTCTTTCTTTCTTTCTTTCTTTCTTTCTTTCTTTCTTTCCTCTCTTCACCTTCCTTCCTCCTTGGGTGTCCCTGGATGCTTTTGTCATAGCTGGGAACCCTTCTCCTCTCTTCCTTTGGCGTGTCCTTGGACGCATGGGTCGTAGCTGGGAACACCTTCCTTTCTTCTCCTTCCTTTTTCTCGTCTCTCCCTACCCCTCCCTCCTGTCGGGACCTTAGGTTGGGTAGGGGCTCCTGGCCTTCCTACTCGGCGCTAGGTGTTTCTTTGACGCTGCTAGAGGTTCCTGGCCTTACCACTACTTGGAGATGAAGTACACTTCGTTGCCTCGATGATTGGAATTCTTGACACGCTTGGAGACGGAACTCTTGACGTTTACCTGATGATGCCATTTATCTTTTGTCATTAGTTTCATCCGACCTTCCCGGCGTGGCGCTTAGAAAATAGGCCTCCCTTTGGGGAGGCGTGTGTGTGTGTGTGCCCCTTGTAGTCACGGGGATTCTTTGGAATTGTGGTTTTGAGCAGGGGCGTACGGCTCGTCATACCCACCGTACGCAACGAAGCTACGGTATGACGAGGGAGGGGTGGACTGATCATCCACCTGTACCTGCTTGAATTTTAATTTCGCTGAGTTGAGCTTGCCACTCTGCAGACTTGCACGTTACGTCGTCAGCTTGTCGGTTCGACCTCGCCTTGAGCTTTTGGCCTCCTTTCCTCTTGAAGACCTCCAGGATCCGGTGGTTCGTTCTTGTACTCTTAGGAAATGGTAACCTAGGCCGGCGTGTGGCACCGCATTCAGTTCAGTACACCCTATCCTAAGTGTGAAACCCTTAGAGTCATAGTATATAGGGTTCCTTTAGGTTTGGAATTGCAGGGGAGTGCGGCATGATTGTGGGATCACACTCAACGAAGCTACCACAATCATGGGATACCAAGTCTGATCAACTCGGCATACCTGCACCTGAGTTCTGAATGCTTTAACCATTCTCCAATCATAGAGGTCCTCTGGCTGTTGCAGGATGGTTCAGGTCTGCAGGTGTGCATTCGTCGCTCGGAACTTGCTGGTCGACTGTCAGCTTCATCGTGCGCCGCATTGCGGCGCTGTGTGTGTGCGCGTGCGTCACACCCTGTACCAAAAAATCCCACTTGTTGTCAGAGCAGGCATGTGACACTCTTATCCTGTCACGCGCAATGAAGCTGTGGATAAGAATGGGAAGGGAACTTGGCCGAGCTACGGGAACTGTTTTAAAGCAGCCGTCCGACTTTTGGTTAGACAATACTCGTTGCTGACTTTTCACCTTGCGGTTCCACCGCGTCAAGTGCTACGTGCTCACACTGAAAGAGACTGTTGGTTAAACAATACTTGTTGCTGACTTTTCACCTTACGGTTCGACCGAGTCAAGTGCTATGTGTTTCACTACCACTTGGATTATCGTTTGAATGAACCATCTATCGAAGTGTGTGTGTGTGCCCCTTGAAATCACAGGGGTCCGGTCGGATTGCGCTCACCTTTTAGTTTTTCAGCAGGGGAGCGGTGGGCATTCTTGAAGTCACCGCTCAACGAAGACACTTCAAGCTTGCTGCGATATGAAATCTGGACGCAGATTGCACATACCTGCGAGAAGATGATGAACACATTGACTCTAGTGGTCCGCCCTGGCTCAGGCTGTTTGCAAGTCTTCTCAGGTTGCGGTAAAGCGCTAATGCATTTGCAGTCACGCACGATCGTCGTCAACCTGTCGCGTGATCGTTGGAGCTTTTGGTTTTGATGGCCTTTGAACATTGATGGACCTCCACTTCTTTTGAGGTTTTCTTCACCTGTACCCTTAGGAATTGGTTACCTAGGCCAGCGTGCGGCAAACCGCTTTCTAGTCAGCAAACATTTCTATAAGTGTGTCTCTCTAGTGAGAGCCCAGGGTGACCCCGAAGAGTGGCCCCTATGGACCCGTCGAACGGGTGTTTGTCGAACGTATCCCCTGCTTATGTCCAATTTCTTGAACTCCAAGCTGGCTCGTGCCATTACGTGGCCGCAGCGGTCCAAGCTGGCTTAACGCCTCAACATGGCCAGAGCGACCAAAGTTTTTTTAAGGTTCGTTGGAACCTGTGCCACTCTTAGGTGCACACACAACGCATACATTCAAACGAGGCGAGGTCCCTAGGCGCTTCTAATGAGGTTTGGTTTCATCGGTTCCCGTCCCCTCCATTTGGTTCCCCTTTCATCCTAGCCCCTTCACACACTTCTGTTTTCTTCTTTTCTTTCATGTCCTCCTGTCTTCATGTTTTGTCATCTCATCCTTTCCTTTGTTTGCGCGTACATCGGCCCTGGCCTTAGTGTGTACGCGCACATCTACTTTCAACCCAGGTCTTAGGTCGCCCAGGTCTTGACAATGAGGTGGGTTTCATCGGTTGTCCCTGTGCACTTGGTTTCTCTTTCATCGCAACCACACACACTTTTGTCCCGTCTTGTCCTCCTTCTCATTTCTTCATCCTTTTTGTCTTTGCTGCGCGCACATTTGCACATTCGTCCTAGCCTTAATTTTTTGCCTCCCCTCAGGGAGGCGTGTGAGTGTGTGTGTGTGCCTCTTGAAACCACAGGGGTCCGGTCGGATTGCGCTCACTTTTTTGAGTTTTTCAGCAGGGGCGCGGTGGGCATTCTTGAAGTCACCGCTCAATGAAGACAGTTCAAGTTTGCTGTGATATGCAATCTGGACGCAAATTGCACGCACCTGCGAGAAGATGATGAACACATTGACTCTAGTGGTCCGCCCTGGCTCAGGCTGTTTGCAGGTCTTCTCAGGTCGCGGTAAAGTGCTTTAATGCAAATTTGCAGTCACGCACGAACGTCGTCAACCTGTCGCGTGATCGTTGGAGCTTTTGGTTTTGATGGCCTTTGAACATTGATGGACCTCCACTTCTTTTCAGGTGTTCTTCACCTGTACCCTTAGGAATTGGTTACCTAGGCCGGCGAGTGGCAAACCGCTTTCAAGTCAGTACGCATTTCTATAAGTGTGTGCGCGCGTGTGTGTGTGTGTGCGTGTGTGTGTGCCCCTTGTAGTCACAGGGATCCAGTCGGATTGCGTTCTCACCTTTTTCTCTTCTTTTCAAGCAGGGGGG